CTAAACTCAAAGGATGCGAAAAAAACAATTGCCTTTCCCTTACCAGCTCCCAAGTTTGGACATAAAGGCAAAAAACCCAACCCAAACCCTTGCGGTTTTTAAGTGCGGCTTGTACTCCCCCTCTCCTCCCCTTACTGGGGTCTCATCAGCTGCTGCTCCACTCGCCAACCCTGCACCACTACAGCTCCCCTGCATCCCTTTGCCTCTCCAGCTCTCAGCTACATATCCTGCACCTGGCCAGCTCTCTATCCTTGCCAAGTAGCAAAACCCACACAAACAAGACAAATAACAGGAGTTGGAATCAAAACAATTGTGCATTTGACATAAAAAAAACTCCCATTCCTAAGAGGAGAGAATTTCCATGTGAGAGATTAACATTAACCTGGTTTCCCAAGAAGGAAGGAAAAAAAACAGCCAAGCAAATGCTTTTCCAAGATACTGTGCATGTGGCACCTCTTTTGGCCCCACCAGAAAAAACAGTTAACAAAGAATTTAAGCAAGGGCAGTACAACTACCTCAAGTTTCAATTAAAACAGGTGGCTGCATAGGTACAAATTACCCATTAATGGTCCCAGCAGCCATCAAGGCTGAAGCAAGAGTCCATCCTTTGATGCGAAAAAACCGAAGTACTATAAAAATACTTTTTTAAAAAAATAACACAAAAAACATCAGCAAGTCCCACCACCAGATGCACTGATTCAAGAAATAACATTCCTTACTTATCTAGCATGCAAGGCTGCTTTTCTATTTTAACAGCAACATGGAAACTATGTCCCATGCACTAATTTTTTCTTGTTTTCTTCATGTATCATAATGAAACTCTTCCTCTCCCCAGTGTTCACTTTAACTTACTTGTATTTTAAGAATTTGGGTTTATGATTATTAAGCAGGTACAAACCAGATGCTTTGAAAATGGCCTAGTCTGTAAAAAAATCACATCCCTAAGGCACAGACATGATGTCACATAGGCTTTTATGGACTGAGGCAGAATATTTTTTCCTTCCAATGATGTGTTCATGAAATGCTTCAAATAAATTATTTTCACAATATGGTTGAGTGTTTTAATACTTAGACATACAGAAGTAGCTCTAAATTAAATGATACTGAGTAACTGCTAATTGCCTTCATCCATAGAATGTTTTCAAGAATTAAAAAAAGCTGCAATGTTAAGGGCCTCTTCTCTGTCCTACAGACATGATACCCAACAGATTGGATGTGTTCCATTTGTAATTCTGAACAGAATAGTGAGAATGGCTTAAGGCATTTCAGTCATTTTGTCCCTTTTGGGTGATGGTGGCTGGAAATAAGCATTTCCAGGGCGATTTCTTCAAGGGTGATTCAGTACTCCTCTCCAGTATTGTTTTGTTATTTCAGCAGCCGTTTTCTCTTTTTCAGAAGCGCATCTCGAAGAGCCAGCTACATGGGAAACAAGATTGGAATATTCAGGTAAGGAAATACTAGTTAAGGAGACAACACTGTCACATCCACAACCCTCTTGAATTTCTTCAGCCTCAGAAAAATCACTAACAGCTTATCTGCTAAATCTGGGAGCAGTAACTGGCAAATGCTAATGACTACACTGTGGTTATTTAGGTAAACTCAGTAGTAAAATTAACAGAGTTGGGCTTCCAGAAAAGTTTCAGTACAGCAGATCGTGTATTATGAAAAAGAGTAGTGTAACATCAGCTGTTCTTCCACTGACTCATGTTGAAGTACAAGACACCAAGAAAGAAACTTCCATCCGGCTGAGAGGTAAGTAGGATTAAATGGCATTTTTTTCAAGAGTATTAAAAAGCTTCTTTTGAAGGAAGGGACAAAGGGATGCTAGAATTTTTGCAAGTGCAACATCACTCTGAAGAGATTTCATTCTTCATTTCGGACATGTTTCAGTTGGTAAAGGGCTTTAGCTCTGGACTGTAGACCAAAGTCAATTTTATTCTACCACCAAAGAGGGCAGAAAAACAGTGTCCTACAACAATGTTATTTCAACCCACTTTTAACAAATATTTCCAGATCATGGTCAATACAACTGATGCTCTTGTACAATTTCACAGAAAAAGTATGGAAAAATTCTTTCTCTCAGGATTAACGGCTGAAACCATTCCAGATAGCATTTTACAAAAAGCAAGCCAAGTGCAATAATCTTTGTAAACAGCAGATTTATAAGAGTGCCTAGATTGTTTGTTTGTGACTTGTTGTGTGTGGATACCTGGGTTATTTGGGATGAGGCAAAGTAACACCAAATAAAAAAACTGCAAAGGCTATTGGTCCAAGTCTTCCTGTTTAACTGGATCACTTAGGACCCGTTCTCTCCTTGGAGTGTACAAACACTATCACTCTTGCTGCTCTTCATGCAACCAATTGCAGTCAAATACACATTATCCTAATGATACGATCCTGGAAACAAGTCACAAAGGAAGGTTTGTCCAAGAAGCATCTGAACACACTCTACCACAGGACAGAACCCAGCAACAGAAGACAAAAATCAACACTGCATAGAAACAAGTTCCTCCATCACAGGGTTATAGTCAGCATTGTAATATGATCTTCTTCAACTGATATAAAGGAAAACAAACCACTTGGTCTTTGCCTCCCTAAGCTATACATGACTTGGCAGCAGAGCTTGGTCCTCAAAGCACACTGAAGGTCATGAACCCACAAAAGCATTCCTCATCACTGCCATCTCCAATAGGATCCTGTGGGGAGGATTCAAGGGAAGCCACCTACCCACACACCTCTCCAGCAATTAAGCCATCAAACCCAACAGCAGACTAAGGGCACAGGACAGAAAGCACTTCAACTACTTTGCAAGTCTACTGCTCAGACTGCCCCATCTCTTTTCAGCATGAAATATTACCTGTTTTTCCCTGAAGGAACGCTTATTTTTTGTCCGGACACTATGGCTGTATCTCATCATCATGAAGTTTTTGTGCTTTTTCTTTTCTTTATTGGAAGAGCTGGCAAATGGGTTAATTCTTGTTTTCTTTTTCACAAATTCTTTTCTATCTGTTTTTCCAGCCTAGAATAGATAACATAACAGAAAAATGGGGTCACTTCCGCATTTTCTTTTCCCTGCAGTTAACATCAGCTGCTAAGGCCACAGGTTCTATAGTAGTAACAACAACCTCAGGTTGAGCATGACTTTTCATGTTACAAACATTCTTCCATGCTGGCTGTATTTCTTTAGTCACAGTAAAAAACGTGTGTGTCTATTTTCTTTGTCATCTGTGACCAAAAAGATGCTGTTGATGTGTTAGAGCCAAGCTGCAACAGCAACACACTACACAGAACTTGTCTCAAAACACAGATGGCAGCCAGGCACCTGTCATAGATACAACCCCACCACCTCCTCCTCCAGCAGCAGAGAAAAACACAACCCCAAACCTTCAACAGAGAACATGAATTGACGAAGTTGCTCACCATGGCAGTTGCCAACCTGGTCTCCTTGTCTGATTTCGGCTTCTTATGCAGATGTTCAATATCTCTGAGTGAAAGCAGCTCTCCCCTACACACACAAAAACCCCACAAAAGGCTGTCACGCACAAAACTTCATCTAGCAAGAAAAACACAAATCCCTCATGACCCTTGGTCTCTCACACTACCATTTTATCTGAACTTGCACACTATCAGTTGTCATCCTTTCTCAGGCTAATCCTCACGCTCGGGACAACCCTTACTAAAGTCTCTCATGACTGTTTTCAAGTCCTGCTTTAACCACAAAGTGGAAGACACTCTGGAGATTAGGGAACTACTGCTACAAAGCACATGGCTATTAGCAGATTAGACCCTTAGTTCCCATCAGCCCCTCATGACTTTACTCCCAGGTACAAACAGACCCCCCAAGCCAGGACCCCCTCCTTCCAGGCTGTGTGGCTGTTTGCCACCTGCCACCAGCAGACACTGACAACAGCAGAGCTCCGCGCCCTCCAGCAATTAAAAGCTGAATTTCCAGGCTGTAGGAAAGACAAAGCACTCATTGATATTTCATATCCTACCTGCTCTCCTCTTCATCATCTATTTCAATCATTTTCCTCTTAGCAGCTTTGCCAGGTGCAGAATTAATTTCTTTGGAGAGCTGGGCAAGGCGTATTTTGTGGAAGTCTTCTTGGGTTAGCAGCCTGCTTGTACTGACTGCTGCAGCTTTGGCTTTTCTTTCCTCTATAGGCATGCTTTTCACCTTCTCTGCCTTTTGAACAAAGTGCAAAAGAAAAATTATCTGGAGCTTTCCAAACCATTTCTGTGCCATATTCCATGACCTTAGCCTCCCAAATACCTACGTAAGGGCAATATTGTCAGGAAATGCTTTAAACAGCTGTTGGGATTCTTCACAGTCCTATATGCAATGTGTATTATTAAAATAAGGTAGGACTTGCACTCCTTCCTGTTTCAGAGTCAATGAAAGCACTCATCATATAAATATCATAGCTCTGCAAGAACTTAGCACTAGGACAGAACTCCCCCATCTCTTCTCCTCACTACGCACGCACTTAAGCACAGGTCCCAGATAGTACTTCGGCCTCACCAATTCTGGTCAAGTTACTCCCGAGACCTCCATAGGTAGTTATAAGAAGCCACATGAAGGTATAGAGGAAGACAATCGGGTCTGCTATTTGAAAGCCTTATTTTTATTTGGGTTACAAGACACTTCAAACTCACTACTTCTTGCTGCTCCTCATCTGAGGAGTGATGCACATCAATCCATTCTCCATCTTCATTATCTTCTTCCTCACTCAGACTAGCACTCTCCCATCCATCTGCTCAGAGGAAGAAATGCACAACATTGTTAATATAGATTCAGTTTAACTGCTGCAGTGTGAAATAACTTCAGACTGGATCGCAAGCTCTCACCACCTTTGATGACCCATCAGGTAACTGAATTTACGCCCAGGGACACACTTACCCAACAGGCAAGTTGTAGCACTT